GGTTAACCTAACCTCCTTCATCTCTTGGTATGTTACTTAGTCTATAAAATGAAAAGAGAAAAAAAATTAAGTCAGTGAGAAAATATGTTATTCGTGAAATGCTGTAACTTATAAGAGTGGATTGGGTCTGCAAGATCTTATAAATTCCTTTATAGGTTTTTTTCTAACTGAATACCAATACAAGTGATCTAAAAGGGTCGAAGAAACTCTTACAATGGCTACGTTACTATTGTTTCTGGGCCTCCAGTACAAGTAATGTCCTAGAGTGCAAAAGTCACCCAAACAGTTTCTGCTACATTTGTGGAAATTTTATTACAGTTTCACGAAGGAAAACCATCACACACAAGGTAAAAGTAGCTTACTACTACTATTTCGGGTGTAAAATTGACGACCAACATTGGGCTCAACATGTGTGTTGTACAGTTTGCACATCTGGTTTGACACAGTGGCTGAATATAAGAGAGCAAGTATGCCATTTGCAGTTACCATGATATGGCGTGAGTCCAAAGATCATCTAACTGACTGCTATATTTGCATGACAAATGTTTCAGGATATTCACGCAAAACTCAACAATACATTAAATATCCAGATATTGCATCTGCAATGAAACCATTACCTCATGGGGATTGTTTTCCAGTGCCACATCCACCAGCGAATTGGGAACAGAAGAGTTATCCTGCGAAGAAGAAAATGAATCCTCTTCATCTAGTAATTCTACTCCTGTGACACCTCAACATAAACTGCCTCATCTGATTACACAAGAGGAGTTAAGTGATTTGATTCGTGACTTATCTCTATCAAAGCAGCATGGGGAACTTCTTGGCTCTCGTTTACAGCAATGGAATTTATTAGCTCCAGTAGCAAGAGTTTCAATTTACTGAAGGCGTTATCAAAGTATTGCTTCTCATACAGCATGAAAGATACTTTGTGTTTCTATACAAATGTTAATGCATTAATGGAAGAATTAGGTACTCAACATCATCCTTGATAATGGAGACTTTTTATCGACTCATTTAAAGTTAGTATGAAAGCTGTACGTTTGCACAACGAGAATACTAAACCATCGATTCCTGTTGCTCATGCTGTGAACATGAAAGCAAATTATCAAAGCATGCAGATTATACTTGAGGCCATTTGGAACATATGTGGTGATCTAAGAGTTATTGCACTTCTGCTGTGCCAGCAGAGTGGATATACCAAACATTGTTGCTTTTTGTGTCTTTGGGACAGCCAAGATGATAAAAATCATTTAAAAAAGAAGGAATGGCCAGTGAGAGAGAATTCATACCAGGGAAACATAATATTAAATATTAAACTTTAGTAAATCCTCAAAAAGTGTTTTTGCCCCATTTCATATTAGACTGGGACTCATGAAAGGTGGTAATGGTTTCAGTGATCTATTTGACAAGTTTCCAAAAATCAGTGAAGCAAGAATGAAAGGAGGTATGTTTGTTGGGTCAGATTCGAGAAGTGCTGGTGGATGATGATTTTGAAACAGTACTCATTCAGAAAGAACTTGCTGTTTGGAAATCATTCAAACTGGTTCTCAAAAATTTCTTAGTAATTAACAGAGATGAAACTATGCTCTGATGATTGATGATATGCTCGAGAACTACAGGATAATGTGGTCTTATCAGTCACTAAAGATGTACTTTTTACACTCCCATTTAGATTTCTTTCCGAATGATTTAGATACTACAATGGAACAGCGATATCAAATATGATGTAATACTGTGATGATGGAGGATTACTGTTGATTCTTACAGCGTGAAACTGAGAAGATACACAAAATACACAACATGTCAGGCAGATATTTTGTAACAAAAATTGAAATAATACCATGATGAAAGTTTTGAATGTAGCCTGAATGTATTTTCAGTATATAATCTTATTATACTCATCGCTTTTTTAAACTGGTATTGCTATTATCTATTGTTCTTGAACATTCTTAAATGCAATTTTCAATGAATAAATAAAGATATTAAAAAAAGTTATTTTCAAGTTATATAAGAATATTGTGAATAAATCTGTCATAACTCAAAAACTAGAGGTGATCAGAAATTTTCAAAATGGTTTTTAGAATCAGCATTGACAAATAACTCAGAAACAGTTGCATTTTTTTAATAGTAAAGAAAACTATTTTTTGTTCCCCGATGTTATCAGCACATTCCACGTGATGCCAAGTTCATATGGCATCAGGTGCGATATGACTTCATCACCCATTCGAGCTGAAAGCCAGATTCGATTAAAGTTCTGTTAGTTTAAGCTAGAAGCTTCTGCAGCAATATAAGAGAAAATGTGATTTGTTGGTGATGTAGTTAGGTTAGGTTAATTAGCCATAGTTCACCTTCCTACATCTGTTGTGATGCCAATCTGGATGTTACTCGCGTCTGATGACTCTGTCTTGCTACAGCATACAAATATTCCCGCAACCAGTAACCAGATAAGCTACTGTTGAAACAGGTGCTCGGAAGTCCAACTCCTTTTGCATTAGTTAGAGGTACAAGCCTAGGAATCCCTGTTGTACCATATAGAACCATGTTGGTTACATTATGATGTATTGCTACAGCTACTGCAGTGAAGCTGATGTATATTATAATCGCTGCTGGTTCTTCCTCTGCTCCAGCGCATGGTTCGAAGTGACCATTAGAAACGAGTCACCACAAAAACAGAGACGACATGTCCCTATGATTCGTGTAGTATTTCTTGATTTTGTTCAGCAGCCCAGCAGTAAACTTAATGGTGAACATCCTTTCGTGATCAGTAAACTTGTTGGTAAGCATACCTTCCTGATCAGTAGACTTGTCGGTAAATATCCCATCGTGGCCACCATGAGACATAATTGGGAAAGTAATCTCTTAAATTGTTCGTAGAAAAGACCAACTTCTCGTGGGGCCCGCACTATCCAGTTTGATTAATCAATAAATGTAAAAGGACTTTTTTTTTACTTAGAAAGAGGCAAGTCTACTTAGACCAGGAATGTAATATTCGATGTATTTTTATTCACTTTTAGAGAGATAAATTTCTTAATCTACGAATTTAAAATGCCTTTCTCTTTCACTTTTAAAGAGCTTTATTTTAAGATTAAAGCTGAATAATGGGCTAACAGCGCAGTGCTCACTGGAGGGATCAAACCCCCAAAGTGGGGGAGACACTTTTAAAAACAGAAATTTTCTTAATCGACAAATTAAAAATATATTCATTTCTATCCACTCTTGTTTCTGCAATTGTACCCTTTGTTATGAAAGCTATTTCAACGACACAGCTCGAACGAACCATATTAAAGCTTTTTATTATGAATGTATTGTGTCAAGTTCTGATCTATATACCAAGCTTTTGAGAGAGAAAATGCACTAATTTTTGTCATCAAGATGTGAAGCAACTCCCAACTAACATTACCTGGTGGATGCCTTTCTAAACAATTCTACTTTTCTTTAATGTTCTATTTGTTTGTTTGCAAGAACGTCATCTATATAACTCTTCGGTATGTTTTACCCTCCGCCCCTTTCCCTCAGCGATAAGCTTGAGAGCTTATCATACAAACATTCGGGGCTCAATCATTGTAATGGGCACAATACAGATAGCAATGAAGAATTTTGTACTGTCTTCAATGCGAAATATATTGTATCACTTCCTATCTTACTTTGAGCATTTGATATTGAACAAAGATAGCCTAAAGTTACCATTATCCGTGATGATTCTTTGAGAAACAGTTTTACTGGAGTCAATAAACTTATGTTTTCTTGTATTCTGCTTGAAAAGAAAAATAAACTAACTTCGAGCCTAAGTGATAAAATATATACTGGCTCTAAAAGGAAGCGGAATTTTTTTTAAATTTTGTTTTCGGAATCAAAGCCAGCGAATCAACTTGCTATTTTTATAACAATATTTTTCGTTTGCAAATTTAAAACGTTCTCGGATGCATGCAACCCTGAAATACATGTCGTATTTTATTGGAATTTTAAGCAGTATGTACACTGTAAACGTAGAATTTCTTATAAAATGTTTCAGCCTTGTTTTCGTTGTCAACATAAAATGTAAAACGTTATTCGCCTCAAGAACCAAAGACGCAACAAATCACTGGAAATTTCAGCTCTGAATTAATGACCTAAATGTCAGTTAGAGTTTTTCTAACAGATTACCATATCCCTGCAAATGATAGAGACAAGTTTAAAATTAATGATATATATATACCATTTAATAACTATTTCTACCACGATGGTTATTTCGATATCATATAATCATTTAAATGTAGAATTTTAGACTCCGTCTTAATAAAAAAATGTTTGTTATTAATATCATCATTATCAATAAAATTTTAAAAAATCAGTAACATGAAATTTGAATTACTTTAAAAGGATTAGCTTGCACGAATTACAGACATATTTATCTTAAGGACAGATGTGAATAGAGAGTGAACATAAACCCTTTTTTAGATAAGTTCTATATAAACAAAAGACGGAAAAGATATTTCTACTCTATTAAAAATAATTCAATTTTCAATTCTTTCCGACTATTTTATTCTGGACATAATCTACTATTTTCGAGAAGAGTTGTTAGAAAACAAACCCGTAAAGACAGTATAATATTCGTTAGTTTCCGTATTTAGAATTAATTCGATCTTAATTATCCATATATGTAATTATTACGAAAATTTGTTATGTAATTTTTCATTTTCTATTGTCAGTGCAAGTGAGTTATCCGTAACGATCATAGTTCGTTGTCTGTATGGTCAGAAGTAATTTTTCATTTGTTTTATAGTAACTCCACAAGGGGTAATAGGTAAAAGCTATGATGTTACATCATAATATAAGTGATATAACTTTCAGGAAATCAAGCAGAATGAAAAATTTGATGAATCTTAAAATATGAAATATCTAATAAGAAAATCTTTTCAACTGTGCCGTGTTTAGTATATCCTACTGCCAAAAAGGCCTTTTGCACTAGGGATCACTAGACCGACTAAGTTACAAAACACAAAGTCGTATTTGAAACATGATTTATTTCACCCATTTATAACACATAAGGCTCTTATGGGGTAGAATGCTTAGAATGGCGAAGCATTATCTGTTAATGGATAATAGGTTTGATAGAATACTATAATAATAGAAAGAATTTTTTTATCAATTATTCTTTACTAACCCAGTACAATTTTTCTCTTCAATTTTAAAATGCAAATGTTTCAAACCTTAATTTGTACTTGCTAGAAGGGAGGAATTTATACTCGCAGTGTGTTTGTAAGATGGTGTAATCTGTTTTAAAGGTGGCATGAAACGGCCTCCATATTCTATATTCTGTTCTGTTTCGGATATTAAGTTATCCAATTTCAAATTTGCTTTCTATCATACAAACATAGAACACTAAGCAACCTGTGACAAAAGAATTTCATTAGGTTTTGGAAGTTGTTATTTATTATAATTATTTGAATAAGGAATAGAAAGTCTATTGAAAAGTAGATAAAAACATCAAGCACAAACAGTTTATGATATTTTTATACCAAAAATTGAACCGAAGTTTTAATACAATAATTTTATAATAGTAAAAAAAAAATACATCAGTAACGTTAGATAAAATAATCAACATTAGCCTGCATGTGTGATAGAAAAAAGTAAATAGTTAAATATAACCGATTTGTTTGAAGTTAAGCACAAAGCTACACAATGGGCTATCCGTCTCTGCCCATCACGGGTATCCAAACCCGATTTCTAGCGCTGTGCAAATATAACCGGACTCACTACCCTAAACTTTGTATAATGTAGACTTGAAGCATAAATACGTTGTTCTGAAACTTATTATAATCAGTTATATTAAGTCCAATTAGACTAATTACATTAGAAACAAACTAACAGAGACTTATTCGTACTTACAATGGCACGCAGAGGTAGACTATGCCCTTCCACTCTTCTACATATCTCATCTGGCCTTTCAAAAACAGATTACGGGTTGAAATACTGCACCTTCGGTCACTGGGTTTAGTAGCACTGTTGTCTGGTGTCAGACATTCTAGTTCTACTACAACCTCTTGGAGAGTGACAACCTGCAACAGCAACAAAAAGAAAAAGAAACGGAAAAGAGTTTCATATGGAATTGCCTTTTTCATAACTATATAATTTGAAAGGTTATAACATCAAACCACATATTTCTTACTGTTCTAGTTCGAAATACTGCTGTAAGAGTCAAGAGCTATCACTGTCACGAGCAAAATTATTTAAAGTAATGCACGCAAAAGCAGGGTACGAAATTAGGAGTACTTTTGTCATCAAGTTTCAATTGTCATTTTATGTATCAATATAAAAATCACTTGATATCGTTTGACTAGAAAACAATGTGTTACAAATGAATACAATGAATTACCATATAATGTTTAATTCACTTTATGCACCTATATGAATACTCTGTTAAATATATTTGACCAACGGTTCTCATATGTTTTCAACTCAACTACCCCTTTACAGATTTGAAGGAATTCTGGAAATATCTAACTCCGACCATATGCCAAAATTGCCATTTTTCTTCTTTTTTTTTCTCTCTCTCTCTCATTTTTTCTTCTTTAATTATTATCACGTATCACAATTTTAGGAAACACCATCCTATATACCCTCGGAAGTACGCAAATCATAGTTTAGGAAACTATACTATTTTTACTTTCGAGGAGCAACAGTTTTATAAGCTTAAATTTACAAATACCAAAGTTTTATTCGTTTAACGGGGGGGGGGGGAGAACACAACTCTAGAAGAGCTTTCGTAAACACGTTAACTTGAGCTATCATCATTATCCAAACGGAGGTTTGCAGACGAAACCAATGAAAGATATATGTTCATGCAATACATTGTTCTATGATGTCGTGTTTCTCAAGGCCTTCTATCACGCACGGAGGTAATTCTTTGTTGGATCACGCATGTGAAACAGATGCAGGAATAGCGCAGTTAAACTACTGAAATAAAAAGAATACAACTCAGTTGAAGTGGTGTGACGTGACTGGGCTAATACGTTCGAGGTTTTTGTCTCCTATGCTCTTTCGAATAAATATCAAATCCTATCCTTTTAATTAGGTATACGAGTTGCTTCAAACACCCTTACGTAGATGAAAAGCCTTACGTGGAATATGTTTTCCACACAATCTGTAGCTTAAATGAACCAATGATTTCGACAAGTTATTCCTCTCAGTCTAACATCGTTCTATTAACTTTGTAAAAATGAATCTTGGAAAAAGGGACAACGAATGCAGCGACCATCAGGTACTTACACTTCTGTGTCATTACGTCTATTTTAATCAACTTTAAAATCGACCCATTGACACAAGCGTTTTATGGCTGTCACCAATGATTTTCTCCAAAGTAATACTTGCTTCATTCTGTTGTTTAAATCAACTATGTATTTTCATTGTGTGGCCTATCTGAATTACCAACTTTATATACTTTTATATATATCAGTTAAACGTTTATACATTTCAATTTCATTGCAATACTGTATAATTTTCCAAACTGGTCCACTTTCACGAACTTTTATCTAAACTCATCTGTGTGCTAGTTTTAGAACAAAGCAGCATTAGGCTATCTGCTGTGTCCACCGCGGGGAATCGAACTCTGGATTTTAGCATTGCAAATCCGTAGATATACCGCTGTCCCACCGGGGGGGGGGACCCCAGTGACAGAGCACAGATAGCCTATTGTGTAGCTTTGTGCTTAATTCCAAACAAACAAACAAACCCACCGGAGGGGCCTAAATTCATCTAAAACCACGTCTATACTCCGAGAAAGTAAAATAAAAAATTCAACGCAGGATAATCTTATATCACAATGAACTTCATCTAGTATGATATTAGAAATCGTTTGTTGATGGATTTTTTGTTTTATATTAACTTCATTTCGAGATTGTATGAATTATGTAATGTTAAGAAGCCAAAATAAAAAATAAACGATATTTTGAAAGCATATATGGAATGTTCGTGGGATTTATCTCCAGATGTAAATATCTGAAATTCAAGTGGACTTTTATCCTCTCCTTCTTTAAACTCGCTATTTATATATATATATATATATATATAGTTATAAGGTTGTTTTTTATTACTAGTAGATGTACTTAATGTGTCAGGTACTGATAGTTTAATGCGCAAAGAAG